AATCCTCCAAGAAGTTTTTGTGGAAAATAACTTTCGAAACTACTTTTTGATATTGAATACAGGTATTTAGGAGAACAAAATTTTAATTATTCTAACATTAAACATATTATATTTGTAGAGACATATACTATAAACGAAAACCGAAAAGTTGTATAATAATTAATAATTTCTCATATGCATATATTTTATTGTTGATTCGAAGACGGCAGTTGATTACATACCTTATCGTTACAATATGAGCAGAGATTGTGTAGAGTGATGAACTGGTTCAGTATGTCATTTCAGAGCAACGTTTTGTAGAGTACTGCGACCGAAAAACTAGGCCACAGGGTCTAAAACAAATTTCAGGGTGACATTGCATGCACAAATATGTATAATGACAAGAGCTGGATAGTAAAATACGGTGACTTTGGAAGAAGTAAAATTAACCGAAATGACTGCAACCTTTGCGTTCATTAAGGTTGAGGTCCAATCTCTCTCATTGAGCGTTGTCAAGTTGTTTGCGAGATATGAAATAAAAGCGGGTACAGGGACAACCATAATTAAATTTTTGCTTGAATCTATATGGCGACCAAAAATATTATACTTTCATGTTATTTTTTCTTTGATAGTGTCAGATGTGATCCGAAGTTCTGAGGAGATTACTCAGCGAGGTTGGCGCGCCAACTCTCAATCTATCACTACCATGTTAACTAACATCAAATTATCAAATTTTATTGCACCTGGTATTCGATTTAAGCTTTTAGTTTTCATAGAATTATGTGATCAATGGGTCGCTTATTTTAGAAAACCTGTATCAGAGCAATGTTGCCAAAGCTTCACGCGACTAATTTTGCTACAGTTGTTTTTTGTCGGCGCCCTCTTTTCAAAGCCACTGCACGCACAGCTATTTGGGTTGAACAATTTAAAATTTGCATGGCTACACAATTGTTACAACCTACATATAAAACCATTAACGCCAACATGCTACAACGATTGCTGGCTGCCAATTGAAGTGCCCATTCATGTTGAAGCGTACAAATTGCGCCTAATTTATTACTCATTTCCACCGTGAGTCCAAGCGAAAGAAGCGAAACGAAGTAGCGGCTAATGAGTAGCCAGCCAACACAAAGCAATTGCTGTCGGGTTCCAAAGTCTACTAAGTGCGAGCGTGTTGTGCTTGTATGGACTACTCGAACACTATTTATGCACTCGAGCACAATAAACATGCAACACGCGGTTAACGGGTATAGGCTATTTGGTCTACGACATGACTTTGCCAAATAATTAAAATGGAAACACTTATAGTTTTCACGCCGAGCAAACAAGCCAATAGGCGAAGAAATTGAAAATAAAACATAGATGAGGAGCGTTAAAATAAAAGATAAAACATCGGACGATAACAATAACGCAAACTGCGCAATTGCAGCAACAATCACATACGTATGTAGGTGAACTATCATTGTGACTAAAGTGAGTAGCAAAAGCAATCAAGTGGCTAAATGAGTTACGCAGCAGCAAATGGCAAAGTGGTGGTCAGCATTTAGTTGAAAGAAAAAACAATCGGTGAATTGAAGTTCATTGCCATCGTTTCAAGTATACGCGAAATATGCAATAGACTCAAACAAAAGTGTTGCAACAACAGCAAACCACAAAGCAACGGTGTTAGAAACAAGAAACTAGAAACACTCAAAGAAAAAATGAGTATACAAAAAAACTTTCGACTCCACGGCATTTGCCGTGAAAACTTCATAAACAATAAATTTCAGTAAATCTGGCACGAAACAGCAACGCGTCATTTCTATGTATGTGTGTGTAGGTGTCTTTCCCGCATTACCAGACAGTGAGCGCGAACGAGTGGTAGAAATGTGATCGACACGCGCATTTAAACAAAGAAATGTGTGCACAGCAGCAAGCTGAAGCCAGCACTTACATACATATGCACTTTATAGCCATCATGCTTGCTGAAAAAATAGAACAGAAATGCTCCGACATTGCTGCAAATTGAGGCATTAAATTCTGAGTACACCTCAAACCTACAAACATACAGACACACCACCGTTAAGGCAAGTTCGTATCACTGTCATTGCCACCTTAAGTTGAGCGCCACAACGGGCACCAATGCATATCTCTACACGATCACGATCAAGCAACTCGAATGTGTGGCATGCGGAATGCGAACGCGCCAAAAGCGTGTATTTTGGAGTGGCTGTGCGGGCATTAATGCATGTATCTACATAAATATACATATGTATATATATTTAGGTATACACATATATACGTCTGTTGGAAAATCCCTTCAGTTCGATACTTTGGGTGGTTTCTTTTTTGCTAAATCATTATGCTGCATTTTTTATACTCTCGCAACTTGTTGCAACAGAGTATAATAGTTTTGTTCACCTAACGGTTGTTTTTATCACCTAAAACCAATCGAGTTAGATATAAGGTTATGTATGTATAAATGATCAGGATGAAGAGACGGGTTGAAATCCGGGTGACTGTCTGTCCGTCCGTCCGTCTGTCCGTCTGTCCGTCCGTGCAAGCTGTAACTTGAGTAACAATTGAGATATCTTCATGAAACTTGGTACCGTAAGACGGTTGGTATTGCAGATGGGCGTAATCGGACCACTGCCGCGCCCACAAAACGCCATTAATCAAAAACAAATAAATTGCCATAACTAAGCTCCGCAATAAGATACAAGACTCTTATTTGGTATACAGAATCACATTAGGGAGGGGCATCTGCAGTAAATTTTTTTAAAGTGGGCGTGGTCTCGCCCCCTAATAAGTTTAATGTGCACACCTCCAATACCACTGAAGCTCCATCAACAAAATTCACTGGGAACAACTGTTTTTAGCATCTCTATTGACGGGTAAGGGTACTGTTAAAAACTACTAAAAGCGCGATAAATCAAAACCAAACAAGCCAGAGACATTAAATTTTATCTCTGAAATGGTACAAGATGATTTTATAGGAACCACGTTCAAAATTAGATAGTGGACGTGGCACCGTCCACTTTAAGGTGAAAACCCATATCTTCAGATCTGCTTAACCGATTTTAACAAAATTCGGTGCATAACGTTCCTTTCATATTTCTATGTTATAGTGCGAAAATGGGCGAAATCGGACTACAACCACGCCTATTTCCCATATAACACCATTTTCAATTCCATCTGATTCTTTCACTTTCCACTATGCATATCAAGCAAAAATGATTATATCGGGGTAAAACTCTGCGTGAATAATATGTTTAAAGTATGCCACCTTGTAACCAAAAATTGTCTAAATCGAACCAAAACTGTTCAAGCCCCTAAGTACTAAATATGTGGACCCCAGTGCCTATAGTTGACCTTCTACCGAAAATATCAGTCAATCCACAAAGAAATCTCAAACGAGTATACCATTTGACTTTGCGAGAGTATAAAATGTTCGGTTACATCCGAACTTAGCCCTTCCTTACTTTTTTTTTTGGTTTTTTTCCATGTCTTTCAAGAGCGTTTTTATTCAGCTTTTTGGCAGTTTGACAAATTCAACACAACAACAAAAAGTGAGACACAACAATCGACAGCTATTTAGAAGCCACGGGTATCACTGTCAAGCGCGCCGCTGACGGCAGCCAACTATGTATTCAAACTGCACGACAAGTACACACTTCGGTGATATGCCATTTGGCTGTTGGCCAAGAGAAAATTGTATGCGATGGCTGGCTGCAGGGTGTTCAGAGCTCATTGAAGGGAATTTGTGAGGTGTAAATTTTCGAACACTTGTTGGTGTAGACACTTTCATATATACATGAATACATTCTTAATTTTACGAATAATTGTCCGTTGTCATAGCGACGCTAATTATGATGTTGCGAAATGTATTTATATACAATTTTATATATGGGTATAAATATGATAGCTGCCACGTTATTTTTGTATTTGACGACAAGGTCAAAGAGCTGACGGATAAAAATTGTTCAGATAGCTACAAGGGCCGGTTCTTTAATAAGTTTGCAATGAAATATGGAATTAATCAAAGAAACTGCAAGTCTTCGGCTGGAAATTTATCAATGAAATCAAACCGGCCGGTTAGCAAGAACAATTGAAATACAAGAAAAACATTAATTTCGGTTGAATCGCAGCTAATACCTTCCACAAATACGAAAAATTCCGTACAAGACTTGATTTTAATCGGTCAGTTTGTATGGCAGCTTTATGTTATAGTGACTCGATCTGAACAATTTCTTCGGAAATTTCATCCTTGCCTTAAACAATAACCTTTGCGAAATTTCTCGAAGATGTATCGTCAAATGAAAAATTAAAGTGGAGACAAATTGATGTGGGCAAAATTTCAAATCGATATCTCAAAAAATTAAGGTTATTACGTTTATACAGACAGACGGACCACCAGATAAATAGACGGACAGACAGATGGATATGGCTAAACTCAGCTCGTCGTACCGATCATTCATAAATATAGTCAAACCTGAGTAAGAGAGAACTGGGTAAGAGAGAAAACTCTATAAAAGAGAATAATTCTTAGGTCCCGAACTTTGACCTCTCAAAAACCTCTATGAGTGAGAAACAAATCCTCCGTAAGTGGCAGTCGTTTTTCTCACTTTGTCTTTTATAACTAAGAGCCTCTTTTGTACTTACCTCTATAAGCGAATTTTCTATTTATGACTCATTGTGTTTTTTCGGGAATCAGGAACTTTGTTGTTTTCTTGTAATTCAAAGAAATAATATTTAACTGTATTAACTTATTTGTCATGCAGTTCATAAATATCATTTGCAACGAACAGTACAGCTCTTACAACAACTTATAATGTCTAAACGAAAAATCGACGTTGTCGCTTTAGTAAGAAACCTCTATAAGCGAGAAAAAAATCATGGTCCCCTGAACTCTCTCTTGACCAGGTCTGACTGTATATTTAACAGAGTCTTCGACGTTTTCTTCTAGGTGTTACAAACTTCGGTGCAAACTTAAAATATACAATGCTCAGTGTATAATTAATCGGACCAAAAATACCGCTTTTAACCAATTATAGAAAGATTCATAATTTTATTTACCTGACAAAGTTTTTTAATTACCATACAATTCCTAAATATTTGTAACTAACATTATGTTGTCTTTTTTGATACCACTTTCTGTTATCACTTGCATATCTAAAGTATTTGATTACTATACTTTATTCTATTTATGTTACCCTTTTTCACTTTATTTTATTATATTTGTATATACTATATTATATCATTATTGTTTTTTATTTTATTTTTTATATGTCAAATTAAATTTCCAAATTAAGCTAAAATTTTATTAGCACATATTTTTATTCCCACCACTTCGGTAGTCGTCGCATCAACATTGTTGCTAAGCGCCGTCAAATGAGCTTCTCAAATGAAGTGAATCATATTACTGCAATGCGAGTGCTACAAGCATACGTACCCGAATATAAAAACGGTATAATATGTAATGGAGCAGTAGTAGGGATGGTTGTGCTGTAAGCATGCTGGCCTCCTTGACTGACTGACTAGCTGCATTCGCATCAGATGACTCTCCTTCCTATCAGCACTCGTGGGGCCGCTTGAATGGCAGACAAGTTTACCCATATCTGCCCGCGCATCTGTCTAACTAATTGTATGTTCCGTCTGGAAATTCGAGTAAACCAACAATAGCGTCGAAAACAACTGCAACAACGGCGGTAAAGCGTCTCGCGTTCGATTTATTATACTCACAGTGATGATGCTGGTGGAAGAGCCAGCCAGAAAAGTCTGGGCATTGAATTAAACAGCAAAAGTCTATTTGTTAAAAAAATTTACTTAAAAAATATATAACAGAAATTTATTCAAACAAAAATTATAGAAATAGAGATTACAACACACTTGTACCGTTATTTTATTGAGGTGTCTGTGACAGCAGACGTCTGACGTCATGAACGAAATGAGAAGAATGCTTTATGTAAAACTTCTATAAAAGTTTGACAGTTTATTTCGCATATGACGTAGCGCGTTGCTATCGCGACATTTGTGTATGGATAATTCAATGATAAAATTGTTTTTCTCCATAAACTTTACAGTAAATTGTTTAGAAATTAAGTACAGTATTTGAACATAGGTGATATTATATGAAAGTATGAACTATCTGCATGTATTACAGTTAATAAATGTAAATACCAAAATGACAGGCGATCATAACCTTTTCAAAAATTATGTTCAATTGCCACATTAGGTTATGCAGTGTATTGACTACAAGCCTTCTACGATTTCCTCACGAGAACTATTTTCGTCGTTGCACTTCCACTTCGCAATTTTTTCAGAGCCATCTCAGTTCGGAAAGAGTGAATAATTTAATTTCGGTGCAATTAAATTCTTTTTACGATTTATTTTGATCGCCTTTTTTCGTGATGCGTGCATTCAAGGCTGGCAGCCAATTCGCTCAGCCACCCACATAATGGGCGTAAGTGTATTGAGTACAGGAAGCGGATATGAAATTTGTGAAAGTATGCCCGGCTTGATCTGGCCTGCATGCAGATTATCTCATTTCCGCTTCAATAAGCAAACATAGCTGACTTGCCAAGTGTCATGCACTGCCTGCAGCACCGTTGCCAATGCACACTTGAGGCATTTAATTTAATTTTTATATTTTTCCAGTGTTTTCGTTGGTTTTTGGAGTGTTATGTTTGTAGAAAGTTCTACTTTAATGTTCTGTCTCAAATCTAAGTGGCAGCTGATTTCAATATAATCTCCCTCCCGTTCGTGGCGCAGTTAGCGGAAGTTAGCAGACTTCATTTGCATGCTCGTCTGCCTCTGGCATTTTTTTTTGCGAAGAAAGTATTCACCATCATTTGCATTAAGAAAGTAGCTTGGCAAATCATGTAGGGAAAAGGCCTGTGAAAGAGCAAATAAGTCACTCATAATAATAAAAATAATAATAATTGCTGCGTGTGTCTCTAGTAAAATGTTCAATTCAATTACAGTGCTCGTGTGCACAAACACACATATCTACAACGTCCATTAGCCTACCCACCCCCCGTAGTATCTACCCCATATATATTTACGATGGTTGATGATCTAAAGTGTAAAATATTTCTCATGTACACACAGTCAGACAGAGATGCTTTTGAGGGTATCTGCGCACAGCTGTGTGTAATTTTAGTATATGTAATTCAATTTGTACGATTGAATTGTCCAATTAGTGAATTTTGTTGGCACAAAATGTCAAAATGAATGAATGAATATGGCTTGACGGCCGCAGCGCTCTCGCTGTGACGTGCTTTGCGGTGTGTGAACGGTGGGCGGAATGTGAGCATACTCTCTAAATAATATTCAGTTCATTCATTTAGTTTCAACAGGAAGTTGTTGGCGAACTAGCTGCGGAGGTAAAACTGTGAAAAGGCAGGAAGTGTGATGAAATAATAACAAGGATGGAAATGATATGGCAATTTATTTGAAAAATTTTCAAAGTTTTTTGTCGATTCGTGTGTTAAAGGTCACAGATTTATAGGCAAATGTAGAAATATCAATAGATTCACGTAAAGTTTAAAATCAAAAAACTTTAATTAACCCAAATATTAATAGGGGGTTAACACTATAGCCACTCTAATAGAAAAAGTCAAAAGTGAACGTAAGTCCAGAAGCATCATAAGAAATTTTTACTACTACTAGTATATTGCTTTTGACAAATTAAGATTTCTGCAACAAACTGAACTAGTTATGAATCAATCAAGAAAGAAAAAAACTAAATATATACAAGTAAGGAAGGGCTAAGTTCGGATGTAACCGAACATTTTATACTCTCGCAAAGTCAAATGGTATACTCGTTTGAGATTTCTTTGTGGATTGACTGATATTTTCGGTAGAAGGTGAACTATAGGCACTGGGGTCCACATATTTAGTACTTAGGGGTTTGAACAGTTTTGGTTCGATTTAGACAATTTTTGGCCGCAGGGTGGCATACTTTAATTGCATTATTCACGCAAAGTTTTACCCCGATATAGTCATTGTTACCTGATTTGCATAGTGGAAAGTGAAAAAATCAGATGGCATTGAAAATGGTGTTACATGGGAAGTAAGCGTGATTGTAGTCCGATTTCGCCCATTTTCGCACTATCATATAGAAACATGAAAATAACGTTATGCACCGAATTTGGTTGAAATCGGTTAAGCAGATCTCAAGATATGGGTTTTCACCTAAAAGTGGGCTGTGCCACGCCCACTGTCTAATTTTGAACGCGGTTCCTCTAAAGTCATCTTATACCATCTCAGAGATAAAATTTAATGTCTCTGGCGTGTTCAGTGCTTGATTTATCGCGCTTTTAGTAGTTTTTAACAGTACCGTTATATGGGGAGTGGGCGGAGTTGCCACCCGATTTCAACTATTTTCACACCGTCAATAGAAGTGCTAAAAGCATTTGCTTCGAGTGAATTTTGTTATTATAGCATTAGCGACTTAGGAGATATGCACATTAAACCTATTAGAAGCGGGACCACGCCCACTTTTTAAAAAAAATTTTAGCTGCAGATGCCCCTCCCTAATGTGATCCTGTGTACCAAATAACAGTCTTGTATCTTATTGCGGAGCTTAGTTATGGCAAGTTATTTGTTTTTGATTAATGGCGTTTTGTGGGCGTGGCAGTGGTCCGATTACGCCCATCTGCAATACCAACCGTCTCACGGTACCAAGAAACATGTCTACCAAGCTTCATAAAGATATCTCAATTTTTACTCAAGTTAGAGCTTGCACGGACGGACGGACGGACAGACAGTCACCCG